TTTAACAACAAGTACACTTATGTACATATGATGACTGTCAATTTAAACGATTGAATAACATACAATCAGGTTAATATAGTCCTTCTCATTGGACCAAAACCTAGTCTACACCAATCCAAAAGCTACATTAGACACATAACAATGTACAAATGGGAGAAGATCCAATTTTGTCCAACTATAGTCATATCTAACTTGTCTTCATTCAGGCATTACCAACATTCAATCGCGCCCGTTTTGGTACTTCCAGGTTTGCAAAGCTGTCCGAAAACTTAGAGTTCTCCGTTGAGGTACACAATCGAGCTGTGTACAGTACTCGATACTTGCCAATACTTTCCTATCCAATTTAAACGTAATAAGCATTTTCGAAAGCAAAGGTAACAACTATAGACCACAATTCCAGATGTAAACTAGGAAAAAAACAAGCGAAAATTGTAATACCTCTGTAAGCCGAACAGCCAACCTTTCGCTCCAATACTCTAGGAATATCATAATGAAGACACCACTGTCACATCTGTTCATGTTGTCTTCTCATTATTCAGTTGGAGTATATGTGTTGTAATAAAATATTTGCAACTCTAACAATAATGATGTGAGAAGTCAAACTATTTACACTTTATTTGGTGAGTGATGAGGGACATCGGCAACTGCAAACGAGAAACTAGAGAAGTCAATTTCCTTGCCAAACTTTGTTGCCACGACCAACCTCGGAGCATGTTTCTATAGTACCAAAGATTATGTAAAATAGATTAGAAACACTACTATTTCATCTTCTTCTCTTGTAATGCATTTAGATGACAGTCCAACATACCAGTCGATTAAGTACACTTATGTCTTTGCTTTTTACTTGATCGTTATTAGGGTCTAGCAGGTGCACTTCTCTCTGTGAGACATCAAAACTGTAGACAAACCAATACCTTTCTATGCATTCCGGGACAAGTATCTGAAACGATTGAGGTATAAAAAAAGTAACATAGAAAAGGTATGTAACCTGATTCTACATTTTTGGATATTCAACATCTAATAAAAAAGTCTTGGGTTAAAGGTGTTAATTGCATACCCACTCATAATTCACGGGATCAACCCCCGTATTGTTATTGTCAACTTTGAATAGTTTTTTCAGCTTTGCAGATAAGCTGGCATTAGATAGCTTGTCGAATTTTTTTATTTCTAAAATTCCTTCCTGCAACCAATAACATGGGCGAGTTGGAAGGAGTGTAGAAGAGATCAGTAATAGTGCATTGGCTCGTAATACCAATTTACATATGATGCTGAAAAAATTTAACACATAATAAGATGCAGTCCAAATTACAAACTCACAACTGCGATGAGTTCAACGATGTAACGTTCAAGTTTCCTATTTTTGGCAGTTCTTCCACCCCAATTCATGAGACAGGCAAACATGTCAATCACCTAATCAATATTCAATGGTAACCAAAATATATAATTGAGTGTTACAATTGCATTTACACTACAAAAAATTATTTCTTTCGTGACAAATTTTTCATGACAAGAAACCTTTTCGTTAGGAAAACCATGCTTTTTATGACAACCCGTCAAGCAAATATCCTTCAAAAGGTGCTGCTACTTTAAACGAGTTTTTCTATTTATTTCATTGTCTAAAATTACTTTCCCCACATCAATTTGTCAGGAAAAGTTTTCATTCTCCCTCCATTTTTTTCCCACCAATTTTTTTCCCCTCTTGGACCGAAAAGGAATTTAGAAGGACATCTTGTCCTTATGACATAGACACCGGGAAATTCAAGAAGCACTTTTCCCAAATCTCTACTTTTGGAACAACAACAACAACAAAGTACACTTTCTCCAAATCTTCAGCTTGTCTTCATCTCCAACAACAGAGAACACCAACGAACTCCTCCAAACTTGTCTTCATCTCTTTCAACAAGAGAGACAACACGATGGTCTAAGGTGATGTAAAAATCAAATAATCCTTCAATTTTGTCTTGAATCAGCTCCCTTTCTCCGAATCCCCCTTCAATTTTGTCCTTAATTGACTGTGAAATGACGGTCCTACAGATCATCAGTTCAAGTTCGGTGTCAAATATTTTCTATGCATAAAAATTGACTCATTTGTGATCTAAGTTTTCAGAAATTGTTTTGAAGAACCTCATTTGGCCCCTTAAAGTTTCAAATTTGATTATTTTCATTATTTTGGTTGAGAATGAGGAATTTAGTGCAAATTTGATAGGCTCCCATCTCCCTGATGTTCACAAAGGAACGGTTCTTGGAAAACTTGTTCTTGCGTGTGAAGAGTTGAGAATTCTGCACATGTACATATAAAATTGATTTGCCAGTTCGTTTTTGGCAGAATGGTGCAGCAGTCTGGTGCATCAGCTTTCGGAAAATTCAGGGTCAAGGATTGACTATTCTTGGAGGTGAGTCCTTGACAGGTTCAGTTCCCATTGGGCAGATATGACTTGTAAATTGCAAAATGAAATATTACTATATGAGCAAAATGGGTCCTATATTTTGGATTAACTCCAGAGTAGATCCAAACTTATGGTGCAATGTTCACATCTAGGTGTGCTAGACGCTTGTCTTGTGTCGAACATTTTTCCTGATTTATCCTTGTTATTTGTCTTTCAGTTTTTTGTCATACATGTGATGGGCAACCGGCTTTCAACAATTTTATCTACTACAATTTTCTTTGATTTTTCAATGTCTGAAACCTTGTTAAGGATTCATCTCTGATTGATCATTTAGTATGAGCCTTCAATGTGATGGCAGAGATACATGTTCAGTGTTTCTGGTTTGTCCTCTTGTTTTGTCATGAAAGTGTCTGAATGAAACTGGAATTTGTTTCCTATTTTTCTTCATTATTTGTTTCCTTTCATGCAGACCTTGTTCTGAAAGACAAGATTGTTGTTTATGATTTGGCTGGCCAAAGGATTGGATGGGCTAACTATGACTGTAAGTTCCCATATCAAGAGCATTTTCCAGCCGTTGGCTTGATTTTTACAGTGCCTTCTATTCATCATTTATCTGATTGGATTAAAAGGGGAAACTTGGATTAAAAGTGAAATTGTTTTCTCTGATACAGATACACTTGAAATTCAGTTTTTAGTTCAAGATTCGCAGAATTTGGGGTTATGTATGACATCTGTTTATACATGTACAAACACGAAAATGGGCCAAATGGGAGAGGAAAAAGTGGTGTTGCCGGAAGGGAAGAGTAGGTGCGGTGCGGTATCAAGTGGGGAAGGTAGTGGAATTTTGAGAGGTTTGGGTTTTAATATGGGAATAGTCACATTGACAGATTGGCACAGGTCTAATTTAATATAGGACGTGGGAGCAATTCACGCAATAATGCGACACAGTCAAGTGTATTTTAGATATTTTGGCTAAGGGCCCCTACTTATAAATTTGGAGCTGATCTCATGGATAAATATTTATGGTGAAGTTGGCTAGTTTGATATTATGTCATGGGGAGCATTAAAAATTTGTACCAGACGAAAAATGCATCAGCAACTAGCCTATATTGTTAGGGGCTTTTATCTATTGGTTTGGGTATTTGGAGTCTATGGTGAAAATGGACCATCTGGTTTTAGAGGTTTGGTTGGAATGGGAGCTTTTGGTTCTTTTTGTTAAGAGGATGGCTATACATCCATCGTGTCCAACTAAATCCATGCAAGAAATGTAGGAAGTAACATAAAAAAAAAAACAGTTTCACAATCATTAGCTCTTTCTGGTTTTCTGAAGTACTATAATATCCTTGCAAGTTTTATACCATAGGTTTTTTATGCCAGTTTTCAGTTAGCATTAGTAGGCAGGAAAAAGAAGGGAAACGTAAAGAAGTGCAGCACTTGTAAATTCTTTATCTAGTGTGACAACTTGATTATTACTCCTATTGGACAAAAAGTGATAGAATGTGACTGAACCACTATTGTTTGTCTTCCTTGCTATAGTTCCTGATCCATAACTTGACATGTTCCAAAAAAAACTAGCCCGCCATCAATTACTAAACCTAAGTAACCTAGCTAGCTAGTTGGAATGGATCTTTGAATGTTCTAAGTTTCAGAAGAAATCTTGATGATTTAATGTGGATCCTTATCCAAAGTCAATCCTGTTCACAATAAAATAGTTTTCAGTCTACCTTAGCAGAGAAATATCTAATTTCGCATTTCTTCATATTCAGCAGAACAGACTTGCATTCTCACTACCTTGATAGAGAAGATAAAGATCAACCAGAGAAAAGATTGCATAATTTGAGGTATGTGGTTATTTGGTAGCTTACCATAAAGAATGAAAAGTGTTTATCATGACTGCTAGTTTCTTGCAAATTATGTTATGGTTTACATCCTTATTTGTGTAAATCAAGTTATGGGTTATGATGTTTAATGTTTTCTATATACTATACAAGAGCATATACAATTAAACAATAGGAGAATAGTACAATCAGGAATGTGTTTTTAGTTTTATTGAGTAGTATACCATTTGGTGTAATCAGTGAATAATCTAATGTGTTTTCAGTTTTATTGAGTAGTATCGCATTTGATGTAATCAGTGAATAATCTAAGTAGCTTGGAATTCATAACTAAGCCATAAAAAGTAGGTAAATTGTGAATAATTCTATGTCTTTTTGCCTCATTTATCTTTTTATAGCTAGAAGACAATGTTTTTAAAGAAGATGGCATGCTTATTGAATCTTCTGATAGTGATGAAACCATTGACATGGATATAGATTTAGATAGTGCTTAAGAAATAGCATAGAAGTGCCAAGTGAAAAGGTTTTTGGCATTGGAGAAGAAAGTGTTACTTTTTGTGGTTTTACCCAATATTGATCAAATTGATATCTTTTTCATGGTTTTAACTCTTTGTTAAGTTTTTGGTATAACTTAAATTTTGATCTCTGTTTATAATTTGACATCAAAATTTTACTAATTTGACTCCTTTTTTATCATATACTTTGTTATTGCAGATGGCACCTTCCGGGAAACGGTTGAAGAGAAACTGCCCACCCAATACCAACTTGCAATCTGAACAACCACCAACTTCAAACTCAACTTTGGAGCATCAATCAGCTACCACAGGTGATGATATCCAGATTAATTCAAATAATAGTAATCCTACTCAAGCATTGGCGAATGGTAAGTGAAAATGCTGAATAATGATTTACTTATTACCATTCAATGTATGCATCCTTTTTGTGATAATTCATAATAAGCATCAACTAGAATGTTTAACATTTGTTCTCAGAACAAAGAAAGCAAAAAAAAGGCAGGGGCCCAACCACGGGAAAAGTTATCGAGAAGATGATACGAGCTAATGTAAATGCCATTCAGTACTAAGATGTGTACATATATAATATTACTGTCTATTCAAGATTTTTTTTTTATAATCAGTTTCCTAGAATTTCAATTGGGGTATACCTGAATGATGCTTCATTTGTTAATATTAGGGAGGCAAGCCATTGGAAATTGTCTTTCCTGAAGGATGTTGCAAACCAATCAAGTATGCTGCTCAACTTGCTAGTGGTATAGGTTATGTTGTAAGGCACCTCTCTTCACTGAAGGACATACGCACATATGATGACATACCAAATGAGAAAAAACAGAACCTATATGGTGGCTTGATGGTACCAGATTACACCGTTGTCTTTTATAATGACATTTAGTGTGTTAATATTTATTTTGCTGACTTGACCAATTCTAAAAATGATCTATTTCTTAATGGTAATTTATAGGGATGGTTTGACTTCAAAGATTGGGAAACTGATCCTAATGTGGAAAAGTATGTGGATGACATGCTTCAGAATAGCTATAGGCAGTGGAGGAATACTATGCACATAGATTATAAGATGTTGAAGGCAACTGGAAAAGATCCACTTACCTCATGTCCTTATGACTGGATTGAGCAAGATGAGTGGAAAAGTATGTGTGATTGGTTCAAAGATCCTATATTCAAGGTGATTGGTTCTAGTTTTGTTTACTTGCATGATCTTAATTCTTTTGTTGCCTTTTATGTTTTGTCTAACTATCTTTTTGGTATTTAATAGAAAAAATCAGAAGCCAATACAAAGAACCGTGCCATGTTACCCTATCCGCACACTGGCGGTTCAAAATCAAATCATGTTCGAGCACAAGAGATGGTATATTACTGATTTTTTATTTCCATTTTGGCTTATATTTATACTAGGAAGAAAACTAGAGCTAACTCGTGATCTTTTATGCTATAAAATAGGTTCCACCAAGTGCAATTGATGCCTGGACTGCTGCTCACATAAAAAAGGATGGCCAATTTGTGAATAATGCTGCAAAATCTCTCGATGTAATTTTCACTATAGTCGGCTGATTCTAGTAACTTTGTTTTTTATTAGTAACAGGACATTTACATATATATTATACATTTAATGACTCTTTGAGTTATGTGAATCTAATATGTACAGGATGAGTTAAAAGAAGAGAGAAGGCAATGCATCGAGAATGGAGAAATTGTCAATGAAGTTAAAATTATGGAAAATGTCCTAGGAAAGAGGGCTGGTCGTGCCAAAGGGTTGGGTATGGGGGTCATACCACCCCAATCTTCTCGCAAACCCGAATCTTCAGCTAATAGAGCACTATTTGAAGAACTAAAACAGTGCAAGGAGAAGATTCAATGCTATGAGGAGCGAATTCAAGCACAAGATACCCAAATCCAAAATCTTGTACAAAGCCAGCAAGGGATACAGGAAATGCTGCAAGAATTCCTCATTTGGAAACAGAAGCAGTGTGGAGGTTCTTCCTAGTAATGGTGAGTTTGTAGATCTTTATTCGAAACAAATATATTTATGTGCAGTTACTTACTATTGTGGAACAACTTGGTTACTTCAGCATAGTAATTATTCTTGTATTGCTTGTCCTCATGATTAGGTGGTCCTTAAGCAATTTGTAGTGATCATCCATGCATCATAACAAAAATACATCTTTTCCATGCCATTCTATTGTTTCTCTGATTTCAGATTTTTCTTGGTTTTATTGTACAGGTTTGGGATGAACGTTTGGGACTGCTTTTGGCTTTTGGCTTTTGAGTTTGGGATAAACTCAACATTATGGACTGCTTTTGGCTTTTGGACTGCTTTTAGCTCATACTGAAGAATTCCTCTATTTTGATATCATCCATCTCTAGTATGTTGTTGACCATGGAATTGAAGTCCATCTTTTGATTTTAGCACATGTTAGGTATATGGCAGTTATCTAGGGAGAAATAGCAATATTTATATTGGTTTCAAATCATGAAATGTAATGATATGTCAATGTTTGACATGGTTAACTTTTGTGGTTTGACATATTATGGTTGCCTACTAATGAAATTTGTGAAGTTTTGGTTGATATTTTGCTTGCATACTTTTATATTTTGATTGGGTGGAGTGTTTTAGTAGATGATATTATTACTTTGTTGTCACTAAAATTGCTAGGCTTAAAAATGCTAAATGGTGAAATTAGAAACTAATATATTATAGTGATGCAGCTGTCGTCAGGAAAAATAACATTGAATTGTCATTAAAGTACGTCCAGCAAGTTTCAATGCATGACTTTTCTTGACAATCGAAAAATTAGTGACAAAGTTCAGGGTCTTTCCTGACAAAGGTTCGTCAAGAATATGAGGTCTTTTCCTGATGACCGAATCGTCACGATTACCTTTCTTGATGACACGTCACAGAAAATGGAACTTTTCCTGACGAGAATTCCACTAGTTGTCAGGAAAACCTTTTGCCGACGGCGTATAGGTGACCAATCTTCTCTGACGACATTAGCGTCACGAAAACTTTTCCCGACGATATACGCAACTTTTCTTGACAAAGATTGTTGTCACTAGAAATATTTTTTTTTGTAGTGTTACCTATCACTAATCCAATCAATAAATTGATAATCAAACAATTGCAATAAACGTAATAAACTATTGATCCAATTCGACACATGCATGCCATTATCTAGTGTCTTCAAGTCAAGCCGTGTTAACGAGAATTGAAATATTTGAATAAGTATGTCCCTATCAGATCCGGGACACAATTTAACGATTTACTAATAATTAATACTCGTACTTCAAAAAGCAGACATGTAATGTATATGAAGTCAATTCTCATCCATTTTCATACTGTTTTCCTGTGCCATCTTACAATGAACCACATGCCCGGTATTGTTGAGAATGGATCACATTATTGAATTAATATTTTTGTCAAGAAATTTACTTCAAATTTTTGTCCGGGTGTCATGCATATGCAGCAACATTTTTATCATAAAAGTTTACTATCACATGTGCTGGTAGAATGTACTCGGCTGACTGCAGAACGGTGTTCTTCTTTGTTGCAAGTGTAGATTTGTGCTTTATCTCAATGTCAAGACCTCCTAAAAAGCAAAGAACATGCATTTCATATGCAAACATATCTATCGTTGTGTAACAAATTTTAACCAATTTGTAACAATTTTCAAATACACTGTAACTAACAGTCTTCAAACACCACTATTAATTTTCAAACACACTGTAACTTCCCAATAACTATTTTGTAACACTATTCAAATACACTGTAATTAACAGTCTTTAAACATTTTTGTATTAATTTTCAAGCACACTGTAACTTCCCAATAACTATTTTGTAATAGTCTTCAAACCCAATGTAACTTCCCAATAACTATTTTGTAACAGTTTTCAAAAATACTGTAACTAAATGTCTTCAAACAGTTTCGTAACAGTTTTAAAAAAAACTGTAACTTCCCAAATAGCTATTTTGTAACAGTATTCAAATACACTGTAACTTCCCACTAACTATTTTGTAATAGTTTTCAAACACACTGTAACTAATAGTTTTTCAAACATCTTGAATTTGTCCCAATAACATCACATGACATTAGGCTTATCTGGATGTAATTTGAATAAAGTCACACTTAATTATTATTCTCAATTCAGTTTGTCTAGGTCGTGGTTTATGCAGCTAACATTGGTGTGTTATGACAGTAAGCCTACAATTTTTCAATCATAACTAGCAATAATTCAGACCCATATAGGTAGCATCATTATGGTATAGATACAGTTAATGTATGTGTCTAACTTTTACAGTCATGTTATTTGAATTAGAACCTTATGAATAATACTACAGTACTAACCTTTTCTTTTTTGACCATATGACCGCAACCTACATGGTGTTTGTGGCTTATGCAGATGTGACGTTGATGCACCTGCAATTGAAGGTGGTTGCACCGTAGATTGACTTTCTTCGACAGGTTCTGTGACATTTGACTTATATTGCTCCTACTCTTGAAGTTGTATAATGCTTCCTTGCTTAGTTGTTGTCATGGTAGCCCCTTGTTGTAATCCCTGACTGATGTTATCGGGCATGACTGATGAGGTATAAAGTGGATTCTCCATGTCCATTACATCTTCATTCAGCTCTAGGAGTTCTCTGATTTCGATATTTGTCCTCGTATTTGCATCGTCTTCTTCATACTGCGCTGCATTATGCTCGTCTTCTTTAGATTCTTTCGCATCAATTTCATCAGCATCATTATCCTCATCGTTGCCCCCTTCTTCAGCAGATTGAAATTCCATCTCTTCTTCAGTATCAGGAATCTTATGCATTGTATAATCTTCCTGTATAGATTTTTTTCCTTTGTCCAATGCTACAGGCCTAAAAGTGGAAGCTTTTGCTCTCGGATGAAAAGAGAGCACTTCTGCAATCTTTAATATTCTTCATTGGCTACTAACAGTAATGTTATACAGCTCATTTAGCTCAGCCTGCAGTTACATGATTACATTACCAATCCATAAATAAGTCACATGCTCTCAAGAATGGAATATAATATAGGGATATATAATAGCACTACATCTAAGTGAAAGTTCTTAATTTAACATTTGTACTACTGGCATAGGTTCTATAACTGCAAGTTCTATGACAATAAATAAAATGGTCACAGTTTTGGTTGAATTTTAATTTATTTATAACATGATTATCCAAAAGATCACTACATTTATTTTTACATACAATTGACTTAATTCAAGATAACTTATTTGTTCAATGTAATATTAGGATTGGTTTCATATATTAAGATGTAACTGTATGTAGTTACAAGCTCATAGGGATACTTTGATCCATAACGTTGACAATAATATGCAGTAATTACGTCAATCCAATCAATAAATTTCGTTAACCATGAAACATGCCTACTTACACAGATATCAGCATGCCCGCTGTCCATCATCATCCCTACCAAATCAGGGGGTAGTTCAGTACGCCACGCACCATATTCATTCTCTTCCGCATCATGTGATCCAACCTTTAAGCTCAAATTAAACCAATAAAGCCATGTAATACATACACCAATACTTTTTATATGATATGAGTTAAACAATAAATAACATGTTACTAGCTTTCCTTTTCCATAAGCCCCAAGATTCTTAATCTCCAATGCATCGCTTTCAGAGATCAGAGTATCTGTCCATGCCTTTGCTCTTGGTATAGTTCTAGGTACTTTATGCTTCAGTATTTGCACCCGGTCAAAATAATGAATCTGCAATACAATAGAGCAATTAATTCAATTACAGATAAACTTGACCCCACATGAACATCATTGTAGAAACATTCATTTGGGTATAATCTAATCAATCCCTCATACTGAATTCAACAGAACATGGAAATGCAGACAGTAGTGTACATACACACAAAAGTGATTAATCTCTAGTGCATTATCTAACCATTAAAGCAAACTTCAATCATGACTACAAGTACCTAATTTTACCAGCAGAACGAAGATGCAACTGCCAATGTATTGGTGCTGCTTTTCATTTTTCTTTTGCACCTCTAGCACCTTATTGAATAGTACGATCCTGACATACTCAACCCAGTTAAATGTCGCTACCCCATCAACCAATTGCGTACAGGTTCAAAGCCTTATTTTGTGCTTGGCTCTAGCGCTTGGAGCCAGTAGACATCCACAAGAAAATGCAACAAATAGTTGTATGAATTCTTCCCCTGCATTCATGGCTACCAACTCATTCGATAGCTCTTTCTATTTGTATGCCCTGCGACTTGGTCCGGTTCCCCCAACCTCAGTTGTATCAGTGTCTTCAACTGGAAGGGAACCTTCGTTTGGGATCCCCAGGATTAAACTAATGTCCTTTGATGTTAAAGGCAACACACCATCTCCATGTAAATTCAAACTGCTCAATGTCGGATTAAAGTTGTCGACTAGCCAGGTAGCTATGCTATTAGGAATCCAATGACACTGTAAGTCTAGCAGCTCTCCAAACCCTATGTCTCTAATCTGCTACTTCTTTGT